CCACATGTCAGGCATGAGCCTAAGCACCTAGAGGACATGAGGGAACAACATCGACCCCCCAGCTTCACAAAGCTCCAAATGCTGTGATGTAGCAGGCGCTCAATAAAACCTAAATGATAGGATGTGAAAGAAATATACCAAAATGAACGTGACTGTGTCAGGATGGGAGTGGGCGTGGAAACTGCCTTTCTGGACTTAATTTGTCAGCCTGCAAATACTCATTATCTCTGAGCAACAGCACCATTTTTTGGAATCTACCTGTATTAGTTTCCTGGGGCTGCCATAACAAAGTACAGCAAACTCGATGACTTAAAACTACAGAAATTTATTCTCTGAGTTTTGGACACCAGAAATCCAAAATCAAGGTGTTGGCAAGGGACAATCTGTTCTTTGCCCTTCCAGCTTCTGGTGGTTGGTTATTGACGTCCCTGGCCTGTAGCCACATCACTCCAGTCTCTGCCTCCGCCTTTACATGGCCTTCTCCCCTGTGTGTCTGTGTCTTCTTTTCTGTCCCTTATAAGGACACTTCGTCACTGGACTTGGGTGCCACCCAGATAATCCAGGATAATCTCCCCACTTCAAGATCTTTAATTTAATTACATCTGCAAAGGCCCTTTTGACAAATAAATTCACATTCATAGGTTCCAGGGATTAGAACGTGAACATATCTTTTTGGGGAACAATCTTCAACCAACTACATCATCCTTTGGCAAAATAAGTGAAATTTCTCCCATTAAAAAGTTTTAAAATAAGACAACATAGCTTTTTGCACAAAGATGGTCAGCATGGTATTGAACTAATTGAAAACAGCCTACAGGTTAAACAATAGTTGGATAAGTAAGCAAACTTTTGGGCAACATAGGATCAATTTTTCTTACGGTCATTAAAAACATTTCCAAAAATTTAATAACATGGAACATTTCATACAATGCTTACATTGTAATATTATAAATGCAAAAATCAGAACACAAAATTATCTTTACAGCCTGATTTCAAATATGTAAAACTATTATCAGAACAACTAGAAGGAAATGTGCCTTATGAAAAGTATTTATCATCAGTGAGTTGGATTATTGGCCTATTTTCTTCCCTCTTTCTACTTCTCTGTTTTCTAAATGAACACAAATTATTTGTATAATTTGAGGAAAATTTGTTTAAAAAGAGATAAACGCAGCTAAACATGGTGACTGAGCACCTACATTTACTTTGGCTTCTTCCCTCAACTAAGATGGAAGTAAAGGAATGAATAAAAATATGATAGAAAATAGTTGAAAAAGACGATCATTAATAAGGGGAGGAAAAAGTTATGTAAGACAGGAGTACAGTACTTGAGTTAATGAAAAATACATGTATAGTCATACTAATGTTGTAAACACTGACTACTGCTACAATTGTATGGGGAATGGGGGAAGTAGGGTGGGTTGGTGATAAGAACATTGAATCCTATCTACCAAAATGGCAACGAGATTAGCTACTGTCTGAAATTGATGAGCAAAGAAATAGCAACATAAGGGCCGGCCCGTGGCTCACTCGGGAGAGTGCGGTGCTGATAACGCCAAGGCCAAGGGTTCAGATCCCCTATAGGAATGGCCGGTTTGATCACTTGGCAGAGCGTGGTGCTGACAACACCAAGTCAAGGGTTAAGATCCCTTTACCGGTCATCTTTAAAAAAGAAAAAGAAAAAAGAAATAGCAATATAAGCACATTAAGCATAGTAAGAAATACAGGCTGGCTAGTTAGTTCACTTGGTTAGAGTGTGATGTTGGTAAGACCAATATCAAGGGTTTGGATCTCTATACAGTCCAGCCACCAAGAAAAAAAAAAAAAAAAGATGAAATATGGAGGCAAATAGCAGAAGCAGCAGCTTAAGAAATGGAAATTGGTTGCCTACATAGAGCAGGACCACGGGTTGAAAGGTGAAAGGCAGAAGAGCTGCTGTTTTCCTTTATTAGTTTTTAGCACCATTAGCCAACAACCAGGAGGCGGGAGGGCAAACATGACAAAGGAAGGGCGGCAGCAGACAGAGGAAGGAGGGGCAGAGGTGAGGGCTGGACTGGACAGAGGGACACTGTCAGGAAGTAAGGACTCAGGAACTCAGGACAACAGGTGGCTGAGTAGGTGTAGAAATAGATCCCCGTCCCGGGGCTGTGGCTGAGGGCAGGCGGAAGTGCAGGGACACCCAGCAGAGTACAAGAGCTCATCTGTAAAGCTCCTTGTTTACTTCCTGTTGTTTGGAATGTCACCAAGTGAAGTCCAGAGGGACCTTGGGCCCGGCCACATGTCCAAGGTGCTTTCTCCTGGACATTGTTTGCACTGACTGTCCATTTATTTCCGCCCAAATAGGCCTGCTCCCCTGCCACTGATCTCAGAAGTGAGACCCTCTACCCCCTCACATACTTGACAGTGGATGGCCAGGGTAACTGTCAGATGACCTGGCTCTGTCAGTAGGGACTGAAGATCAAATTCCATGGTGAGAGGAGTTCTTCCTCCTGGGCTGCAGGGGGAGCACTCCTGGACACCCTCGCCAGGGCCTCACCGAGCTGCAGGCCGAGGAGGCACTCGCTGGGCTGGACTGGGCCTCTGAAGTGCAGTACGACATGGAGGTCGTGGCTCGAATTCCAGCCCTGCCACTCACTAGCTGGTGACCTTGGACAAGTAGCCTGACCCCGTTGGGTCTCTGTGTCATCTGCAAGAAGACAATATCCCACATTTGCAGATCTTTTGTGAAGAGCAAATCAGAGATCTAAATGTGCAATAATTGTCTCCTTATCCTTGTCTGCTCCTATCAAGTGGTGTCTACATATAAATCCAGACAACCAGTTGTTTTTGCTTCCTGTGACTGCTATAACATATTACTACAAACACAGTGGCTTAAAACACCACCAAGGGTTGGACAGTTTGCTCAGCTGGTCAGAGCACAGTGTTGTAACACCAAGGTCAAGGGATCGGATCTCTGCACTGGCCAGCCATCGAAAATAAATAAACCCCACCAATTTGTTATCTTACAGTCCTCCCTCTCATAAGGCCACTTGTGATTGCACTGGGCCCACCTGGACGATCCTGGATAACCTCATCTCAAGATTCTGAACTTAAACACATCTACAAAGTCCCAGGTAACATATTCACAAATCCTGAGGATTAGGACATGGATATGCTACCACACCAGATCTTTGGAAAGTCGACAGAAACAGAGGTAACTTGGACAGGTGGAATTGACACTATCCCATGCTCTCTCTACAATAAAGTACACTGTTCTACCCAGTCACTCCGAGGAACAAGGAACTTGTGTCACATTCCAGTTCTCACAGTGAATTCTAATTAGGCAGACCATCAAAATTATTCAAACTTCCATGAGATAGCATCTTCAATTTTCCACTTAGTAAAGACTTATTAAGCATATAGGAAAAAAAATTAATTAACTTCTGGAAAGAACATCTACATTTCTTGTAGAGCTCAGTGATTACTTAAACTTTTAAGTTCTCTGGTGACTTTGATATGATCTCACTATGATTTATAGCATAGGAGTCAAATGATTCACTGGCAGCCCTCTCCTATCTCTAATAATATTCTAGAGGTTTCTTACGCTGATGTTTCCTTGCTAAGAAGTTTTCATCATTTCATTTTTCAGATGAACCCTAAGGGTATATAAGCAGATCTAAGGAAAAGCCAAAACAAGCAAAATTGTGGAAAAGTAATACTACACACCAGATTGGAAAGCGAGGGACAATTCTGCAGACTCATGAGTGTGACCTACAGCCTGGCCTGGTATTCATCCAGTGATAGTATAAAATGATTTGTTAATGGTATTCTTTCCAAAGGGCAAGGTCACCACTCTGGCTGGCAGCACAGGCAAGATCTGGAGCATATGGCCTTGTTCAAGCAGATGAGTTCTAAACTCCTTTAAGATTCTATGTAAGCCCTTGGCTCAGAGCAGACACAAAAGTTATCAGTGGGATGTAGTGCATGATTAATGTAATAAAAAAACCTTCTCTTGAAAATAATCTGGAGCCGGCCCGGTGGCGCACTCGGTAGGGTGCGGCGCTTGGGAGTGTGGCGGTGCTCCCGCCGAGGGTTTGGATCCCATATAGAGACCGGTGCGGGCGCGACACCGAGGGTTGCGATCTCGTTACCGGTCACGAAAAAAGACAAAAAGGAAAAAAAAAAAAAAGAAAAGAATCTGCTTTTCTTTTCCCCAAAGCCCATGGTGAAGGTCAGTGATTAACAAGGGACAGTCTTCTAATTTGACTGGACAGTCCCAAGTAAGGTGGGGGTGGGGCGCTTTCCTTCCCTTTCCTTTGGGAATCCCAAAACCTCTGGGGGAGGGTAGCAGCAGGAGCAGGAGCTACGAGACCACCCAGCACACCTGCCCACAGAGAACAATCCCATCCTGGTTCCAGCTTTATCTCACTCAGCGAGTCTGCTTTCAGAGTTTTCTCAAGGGGAACTCATGTAGACTAAAACAACTGACAGAACAGGCCTCTAGAACGGCTCCAGGGAGAGAAGCCGGCCTTCTGCCCTTTTTTCCCTTTTCATTAGAAAATACATCCTTCTTCCTATCTCTGCCACCACAGAGATGTACTTCTCAACGAACACTGTTTAAGCCCCTGGAGATGACTGAAGGCTTCTGGGGAGCTAAAGACACACCATGATAGGATGGGCTTTCTTCCCATGAACCACTGTGGAGGACTTCCAGCTCCAACATGCCACAGAGAAAGTCTTATAAAGAAGAATCTCTGCCATGTTTCCAACTATCTCCATTTTTATAAAGGCCCCATTTTTTAAGAAATAAAATACTCATTAAACCCCATACCTCCGTGGACCGTTGATGACTTCTCCCTATCTAACTGCAGTGCAGTTGGTGAGCACAGACCTGCAAAGATAGGCAGGAGGAGCCTCCTCTTCCATTCTCGCCCGAGTTCACCCACGCCTCTACCTGGACCAGCCAATCAGCATTCACGACATCTACTTCCCCTGGAGAAACTGGAGCACAGCTCAAAAGCAATTCTTGTAGCAAATTTAATAGAAGAGTATGAGAACCACTCTTTTTTTGTTTTTTTACACAAACATTCAGTGGAAAGAGAATCACTCTTAATTCCCAAAAACAAAAGGTCACAGAGGCACTAAAATTTCTTACGGATGTATGCTCTTCAAAATTAACAACTCATGCATCCGTGTATCCCTTTGTTGGCAGTTTATTTTAAAAAACAACACCCCAGTTGTCACATTTTCTTCTTTGCTCATCATTTTCTTTAACAGAAAAAGTTACAAAAAATTAGGGGGCTATATTATCTTTGCAGACTGACACATTTGCATGGGAGTCATGAATAATAATGATTCAAAAGCTCCTATTTAACTCCTGAATCAGGCAAAGAATGACAATATAAGAACAAATTTTTCTTACAGCAATATCATTATACAACATCGAATTATTACAGTGCAGTGGTTGCAATTAAGATCACAATAGAATATTCTTAGCCCAAACACCAGACAAACTAAAATCACCGACTGCTAACAACCAAAAGAGTCAGTGCAAGCAGTTGCCTTTTTTAATAGTGAGCCCCAAATCAGTAAGGCTTTTCCGGCAGTGCATCTCTGACGTCATCGGCTCCCTCTCTGCACAGTGAGGACCCGGGTGCCCTCACTTGGAGTCTTGGTCTTTCTTTTCATCTAAAAGGGTGGAGTGGATCCCCAGCTTTTTGAGTTCTTCCACCAGGTCCCCATTCTGGTGCATCTGCAGAAGAATGTCACAACCCCCCACAAACTCGCCATTGAGGTACACTTGCGGGATGGTGGGCCAGTTGGAATAGTCTTTAATGCCTACGGAGAAAGAACATTTGAGTGTTATGTAAATGGTCAAAACTGAACCTTCCAATTATGAATTTACCCACCCCTAGCAGAAAACGCGGTGTCCCTCCCTTGCTCCTCCCACTCTTGGAGAGCAACATGTCTGCTACCAAGAGCATACATACGCTTTCTAGTCAAATGGACCAGTATTGAAACTCTAACTCGTCCAGTTACAAACCTCTCATCCTTTGTTTCCAGCTTCATCTCACAACATTTTTGTGAGAATTAGGTAAGGCTCTCAGGAAAAGGCCTAACACATCATCACGGGGTTAATGGCAGAAAACCAGACTGGTTGATGAAAGTCGCGAATGATACACAAAGCCGTAATTCACGCAGCTGCCAGTCATGTTTGCAACTTCATTTAACCTGGGTCCATCATGGTAACTCACTGTCAAATTAGGCAATCCCCACCTGTGCACTTTTCATGGCTAACTTGGTTCATGCCACCAGTTACTCATGCCCAAGAGGGTGAGTAGTTGATTTTTTATCGTTAATAATTACTTTTACCCAGAGAAAAATCCCTGTCCTATGGCTGTGGACCATAAGCCTCCATCCTATTCAGCCACCCCTATGGGCTCGCCATGGGGCAGGTGATTTGGCTCAGCACAGAACCCAAAGTGACTGACAAGTCCACTGAAGGAAAGGCCCAAAGGTCAACAAAGTGAGAGTCCTGGGACAGGTGCAGGGCCGGGCTGAGGGGAGTGAGACCCACTATCTGCTCTCAAGAGCTCACAGCAGACAAGAAACCAGCCAGCGTGTATGTGATCAGTCCTACATGTGAATGGCTTTGAGGAGGACACAGAAGAGATGAGGCATGTTCTGTGCAGCCATGAGATTGTTCTTTTCAATTCTGGGCCACAAGAATGATGGTTATTAACAAAACAGTAGAAAAGAAATGTGACTTCACTCTTGAGACAGAAAAGATTACTCTTTTTTAACATTCCTCCTCATGATTCCCCCTCCTTTTCTACTTGTATGTTGAGATAAATGTACTTTCAAAAACATATTCAGCCAATAAAATGTCTGGGTTGGTTATGTTAAAAACAAATAGTCAAAAGCATGCCAGGTAATAACTAATCACTATAGATAACATATATGTAATACTTTTATGTTTACATAAAGATATTTTTAAATGTTCAAAATGAGAATACAAACAGGAAAGTCAAAAGATTCTTCAAGCAAAATACAACATTATGCAAATTTAAAAATTGGTCAAGTGGTGATTTTTATGTAGAACAAAAACACAAAAACTCGTTCTTCATACCCTATCATTTATTATCAAGTATTTACTTTCCAAATAAAATTACCAATTTGCGTTATATCACAAGCAACAGTACCAAGATACAGTGTATTTTTCTCTTAAATTACTGCATTCTTAAAAAAAACAGTGACTTCACTCTAAATGACAGCCCTAGAGAAAACGCCTGAGCCAAAGGCTTTATCTTTCTTCTCCAGACTTCACAAATTAAGACATGGTTACAATGCTATAAGCCTCAAAAAGCACACTTCTCAGCCATTCTGGATGTCCGTAAAAAAAAAATCAGCTACAGGTTTGGGGATTACCAATAAAGGGTGAATCCCACTAATCATCAGAATGTCTTTATAATACTAATATGTAGATATGCTAGAATACCCTAATGAATTCAAGTTTTTCATCATTCTGATGTTTGGTGCTATGTAAACAAAAACAATTATTTAGCATGTAAGTTGTGTGTGTGTATTTCTTTTTTTTAATCTAGCCTCAAATCCAGTCTATCAGAACTTACTTTAGAACATGTCATTTACAAATCTTTTACCTTTATGATGAGTGAGGGCAGGATGGGAATTAAGAACTGTTCAAAGTAAACATGAGCTTCTTTTTTTTTTTTTTAAAAGATGACCGGTAAGGGGATCTTAACCCTTGACTTGGTGTTGTCAGCACCACGCTCAGCCAGTGAGCGAACCGGCCATCCCTATGTGGGATCCGAACCCGGGGCATTGGTGTTATCAGCACCACACTCTCCCGAGTGAGCCACGGGCCGGCCCAAACATGAGCTTCTTTTAAGTCTCCTATACTTTCTTAAATACCTTTTACACAAATGAACCATCTGTGTCCATGATATTTTACCTTTTTGTTTTTCAGTTAGTAATATATTGTGTTAAGCTTCCCATGACAATAAATTTTTCCAATTTCTTTTGGTAGGTGACTACAATTTTTGAAACACAACAAAAATGAAAATAAATTTGCCCCCTGAGGGCAACCCAAAACCACATTTAATCCTGAGATTCATTTTTTAAATTTTTATTTATTTATTTATTTATTTTTAAAGATGACCGGTAAGGGGATCTTAACCCTTGACTTGGTGTTGTCAGCACCACGCTCAGCCAGTGAGAGAACCGGCCATCCCTATATGGGATCCGAACCCGGGGCCTTGGTGTTATCAGCACCGCACTCTCCCGAGTGAGCCACGGGCCGGCCCCATTTTTTTTTTTTAAAAAGTAAAATCTTTGCTGAGTAAAAGAATGAATTGCTTTTCATCGATCGTTTCTATAGTGCCACACTCAATCAAAGCGTGAGGCTTGTCTCGTTCTTTATACTTTAGGTTGTCACAGGCCTTACGTCCTGACTGTAAGATATGGGCATACCACCAGAATGCCTACCACCGAAACTACCAAAACAAGTGTGCTTTCAGACTAGCTAGGATTCCGGAACATCCCAAACACCCAACACACACATGCAGGTGAGACCACCTCCCTCCAAACCACTCTGCCCATGGCTATCTTGCCTAATAACTCACATTTCAAGAATTCAGAACTCCCCCTCAAGAGTGAATATGGCATTTTCTTGACAGTGTCCAAGGTGCTTACTAGCTGACAGTTTATCAAAATTACGGGCCGGCCCGGTGGCGCACTGGAGAGTGCACCACTTGGGAGCGCAGCGGCGCTCCCGCC